TCAGAGGATGATTTTTTGATAGGACATCAGTTAGAGGTGAGTTACAATATCCCTTCACAGGGATTAAATGTCCCCAGCAGGGCTTTTTATAAATCAGCTCCTTGCGGGTGACACCTGCAACTGTAGAGCATCACCTGCAGGGGCTTTGCAAGCTCCAGATGCTTTAGGAGCTGAGTGAACAAAGAGGCTTTGGAGGTAGGAGCTGCTGTCTGTAACTTGAGTCTCTTCTTACTTACTCTCTTACTCTTCCTCATCAGGATTAAGGAGAATTTGCTCTGAATGGAAACCAAGTAAAAAGAAGAGAACACTGTGGCTATTCTTTCTCTAATTCTCATATCCTTAGTTCATTCCCAGTACTTGAGAAGCTTCAGCAGCCCTATTTACAAGAAACAATTACATAAAACACACCATAGAACACAATTAGGTGCCAAATTGACCCAGTCTAAACACCAAGATCCATAGTCTGGTTCTCAAACTTTAGCGGGCATCAGCATCACCTGGAGGAATTTGTTAAATCACAGATGACTGGGCCACACATTCAGAGTTTCTGATTCAGGATGTCTGAGATATGGTCTCAGAATGTGTGTTTCTTACAAGCTCCCAGGTGACAATGATAACGCTAGTCTGGGAACCACTCTTTGAGTAGCAACTGGGCAAAGACTATTGGCCTCATTTGCATAATCTTGGGCCCTACCCTAGATTTATTAAGTCAGAATCTGCATTTTAATAAGATCTCCTGGGTGCATCTGCAGATTGGAAAGCACTGCTCTAGATCAGTGGTTCTCAACCTCGTCACACTAGAATCATACGGGAATTTATACAATACAGGTGCCTGGGTCCTTCCCCTCCTGACCTTCAGACAATCGGATTTAATTGGTCTGTGGTAGGGTACAGGCATCAGTATTTTTAAAAAATTCCAGATGACTCAATTATGCAGTCAGGGTTTAGAACCTCTAGACCAGATGACACACTTTAGGAATGTTTAACCTTAAAGGAAGGAAGAATTTGGAGAAGGCTGTTTCATTTGTTGTCTCTTCTGTCTAGAACACTTACCCCTCCATCTTCACCCTGATGGCTCCTGGATACTCTGGTTTTAGTGTAAATGTTACTTCCTCAGAGAGGAAGGCCCTGATGACCCTGAACTTACCTGTCCCCATCAGTCACTATCACATACCCTTTGTTGTGTTATCTTCTCATAGGCATATGAGCTACCTTATTAATTTATTTTTTATTATATTTGTTATAATAAACAAACAAACAAAAACAAACCCATTGCCATCAAGTCGACTCCAAATCAAAGTGACCCTAGAAGATAGAGA